CTGAGGAGTTCCAGGACGAGACAGCTGTCCAGTGCTCCAAGTTTTCAATCGTTCGCTAACTGATGTCATTCGTGATGAATACTGTCTCTTATTATTTTTTAACTCTTCAGTCGTGTGCATTCATGATGACATAAAGTTTCGTAATGGGCATGTTGCCAGACATCTAAACACTTGACTACAATCCAGCCGTCCGTTAAATTTTTTAACTTCCCTTTCAATTCACAATATAATATGACTATCCAAATTATCTGACTTGTATCGATAACATTGTTCTGTGAGAAATTAAAGAAATGAGATGTTGCGTGTTTCTAAAGGATAAATCCCTAACTATAATAGATAATTTTGTAAAGCCTGAAGTATTGATTACTTTTAGTATCCAGATAGTGTAATGATGTTACCTTGTCTGTTTATTGATTTTCATTTTTTGACTTAATATTATCGTCTTTCTCGTCAACTGAGTTCCTCTCTGTGTGCTGTGTGACACGTTGTGTTACTCTACTTTATTTTCCTTCCTGTTCAACAAGGTGTTCTGTAAGCTATCACTAATTCAAATGGTCCCTATTACCAGTAATAACTTTAATGTAACAAAATCGATAGGAAAAGTCATCAAGAGTGTACTTAGAACAAACTCATAACAAATGAAAGTCAAAAACTTTATGATGAACGTTTTGTACCTAGAATGCACGCTTCATCCTATTTGAAACTCGTTAGCTGAAAGCACCTCAACCTCAGCAGGTGATGGTTTTACAGCTGAAACTCCAAACCAGTAGTTATCCATCAAATGTTAAAGTGTAATCAATTAGGCTAATGAGTCACGAAAGTCGCCTTTTATGAGAGGGGTATCAGGACACCATCAAGGAAATCACAATATAATGAATCTTCGGCAGCATCAAAGCATCTGCACAGGAGCACAATTACTTAAGATGGCATGAATTTTCTCAGTGTTCTAGATACAAAAGGAGAAAATAGGCATTCAAAACTTCTCACCCATTGAATTCCGAAGCCATTGGTGGTTAGCCTAAACAGTATTACTTTTCATGCATACCTATATGTTGAATTACTAACCATAATACTGATCATAGTTATAAGAGCATAACGCTGAAACCCAGTCAGGTCAATTTCTTTTGACTCGCCCCCCCACTTTGTGTGAGAAATCGGTTAGTTATCGATTAGTGTTCAGTTGAGTTTCAAGTGTCTTCAAATCCATGTAAAACAGTTATTCGGTTAACTGAGCACTGAAAACTTGATGATGAAATGATACACTTCACAAGAAAGACATAAAATGAATAACTACCTAAGCGTTGTGTGGTGTTGATTTATGGGTCATGGTTGTTTACTGATCAGTTTTATGGAGTGTAACAAGCAAATCAACTAGTTATCATATGTACATATGTGGTGTGTACTACTTATACGAACACCCGTAAGTAGTATTTAGCATGATGTCCCTGGAAAAAGTAAATAGAGGTTCTAAGAAATAAACCAGAATTATGGGGTGAGGATCCAGAAGACAAACGAAGAAGGAACATAAACTAAAGACCGATTCATCTTAAAATACAATCAGAGATTATTTGCCTGAACTGTATTCAAATGTGATTTCGCCCTCCCCCCCCTTCTAGGAAAAATAATTTTTATCTGTCCTCACTAGTATTCTTTCTATGAGGATGAAGAAGCAAGATAAACAGAGCGTATCTTTGAATTAATGGATGACAGAGTTCACTCAAGCTTATTCATAATAGAAGATCAACTGAATTGGCGACTAAGAAGTTAACAAAAAATTTATTAGCTGATTTTAGGTTGGAATTCATCATGGAATGACACCACTTGAAGGGACATTGGAAACCTGGGAGCACTGGACAGCCACTTCGTCCTAGTATAGGACTCCTCAGAAGTGCGCAACTATGATCCCACCCCGCCACAAATCGAACCTAGAACATTCAGGTTCCGTGGCTACCACCACACCATTGAGCCACTGGGTTTGAATTCACTAGTTAATATTTCTTACTTATGTCAGTTCACGGTATAGCGCGACCTAAATCCAACGTCGTCGTTGAGTAACTGCTCTCATGTTCCACTTGGTTGACTCCACTGGTCACGACTACTCATTGGAACTTCAGGAATTACCTCTCGATACTAGTCACTATGAGCGCTAGATTTATTACCGATTTCACCTCCACAAAGACCTCTAATTCAATTCATTTTTTCATTACATCCCCTTATTTCATCCTATTCACATTAAAATAAAACACTAAGCAGAAACATGAAACTTGTGTACTTTGAGATTGAGGTTCTTCAAAGCTTGATAATGAGTATCACGATGAATAGACAAAGAACAGCCAAAATACGGATCATAAAATACGATTTCTATGCTGCATATCTGCATGATGGTTATATTACTCCAGTGAAAATTCTGGGTGACTCTCCATTCGGTTTAATTCCACCTACAAATAAACCAATGAGAAGTCGTGACTAGCGGGGCAAACCTGGTGGCCGTGAGAAAGAATACTCAAGATGATATTTGGTAATGGTCACGCTGTATCATGGACTGGAAAAAGTTGGAAATATAGTAACATGCTAGCCGCAAAACCTGAAGGTAGTGGGTTCCATCCCTGGTGGGTTCGTGGGTGCGCACTGCTGATGCGTTCCATACTACGACGAAGTGGCTGTCCAGTACTCTCATCAGGTTTCCAATGTCTCTTCAAATGATGTCAGTCGATGATGAATACCAACTTGAAAAATCTCTAAATCCCCACAAACCCCCAAATTCATTGCAGAAAACCTTAATGTTAATTCCCTGTAATAGTTTATGTTCATAGTAATACCAACAAACATCATGCTAGTAACAGAAACTATGAAATGATAACTATTGAGCTAGTGATGGAAAATTTGCAAAAACAAAGACAATTTCAAATTGATCAGTTGTTTTATTTCAACTTCTGATCAATAAGTAAAGGCGTCGACATCTCTTTAGAAAAAAAGTGAAAAAAGAAAACCGATCAACATACATGTTCATTGAAGATGTATTCATCAATTATATAGTTCTTTTTTCTGCTACCAGTTTTTATGTGACTTACTAAGGTTTTCTTAATTCATGGTTTTTAACGTAACACAAAAACCGATTTTTTAAAATTAAAATATTCATACAACAGACAAATTTAATTCAGTGTTTCTCCTTCAATTTAGGCTGTGAGTTCCTGTTATAAGAATAATAAATGGTACCATTAAATGAGACTGATCATGGTTGTGTATATATTCAAGATGATTATTTTGATCCGATGAGATTGATTTGTCTTCTAGAACTACTAACATGTGAAATGTTTATTCCTATCAGAAAGGCATTTAAGTATTCATCCTAAAGAAAATCGTTATTATGACTGTAATTAATTGCCTTTGCTTTTCTAAACGATTATTACAAAAATCAAGAAAACATAAATAAACCTATTGACTGATGTAAAAATCAACTTATTTCCATTTAGATTCTCCCCCCCCCCCCACTGAACAGAAAATAACTGATAGCGAATAGTTAGAAGCAGTTTACTGATTGATTTCCATAAAGTAATATCTGCCTACATCTGTTCATAGTTCAGCTTAACCTTCTACAACACTATAATCAAGGGTTTTGACTGAACTCACAAGACTATGTGCATGAAGTAGTTGATTTTATGCATAGATTTGGCTCATTGACTTAATCATTTGGCTTTCGACCAAAAGGTCTGGAGTTGGAATTCCGCTAAGCCTAAATCGATCATGAGCAACCTGGTAGGATCATAAATTCTCATATAATGGATGTGGCTTATGACCTAGCACTTGGATGTCTGTACTAAATAGAGGAACACATTACACGGATTCACAAGTTGTAGCAAATACGCCTTGCAACAAAACAAACACACATATTAAGTAGTTTATCTCACTCTGACTACTTTCATCAACAAATCACTTATTCAACCTTAACAAATGATATCTAGTAGATTTTGTGACTGACTATCTGAGACAGCCGTCGTTCGGCAATCTATAATTGATACTGGGTGATGATTGAAGGTATCACTACTAGTATGCCAAACCACAGCTACCATAGATAGTCGAAATGATAATCAATATGATACTCCCTCCTTCTAATTCAGTTAGATTGAGATTGGAATAAAAGTCCTGACTAGGCAACCAGTGTGGACACGATCAAGGGGTATTAATGTGTCACGAATTCAGATGGTAGTCAGACAAAACTCCGCCTTAGGATTGAAGTGAAATAAGATGAGGTGGGCGACAGAACCTCGTAGGTCAGTTGGTAGAACATCGGACCGGAAACTAGGTGGTCACTGGTTCGAACCCTGTCGCGACTTAAATTTTCACTTCACCTTCAGTCACCACGTAGCCCTTATACTAGTCAGTTGTGAATCAAATAAACAGAATTAAGAACTAGGATCGAGATCATTAATTATTCATTTCCCTTATTGTCTGTAGTACTTAAGTGTTGTTTATGCTGTTTAGCAGACGAAAAGCGGTTTTGACATCTTAGTAAAAACTTCATTTAATTGAGAGTTCGTTGCAAAGACAGGAGTACTAAAATTTATCATAAGTTTACGGATATACTCTGCTAGTGGCTAACAAGATAGTAGGAAACTCAGTACTGCGGTATTTTATCGAACATTTGCAACTTTATAGAACTATACATCACCTCCTCATGTCTCAGTAGCCTGGTGGATTGCACTTTGACATTTGAAGCGTTGAGTACTGGGTTCGAGTCACAGTGACAACAACATCACTCACTGGAGTGCAGGTACATCCAACTGACGAGTCCCAAGTAGGATGAAACATGTGTCCTGGATTCCAGTGCTGATCACCAACAGGCGAATTGACTAATGATCTTTCATATGAAGTGAAACTACAATGTATTAAAGGATAACCATCATCTTCCACAATATAGAAACTTTATTCTATCTTTTTTTAAAGGAATACTTTTCACAAGAATTGAGCCTTTTTAAAATTGCTAATAAACTCCTACTCACCTTTCCGTCATCACCTAATTCATAGGCATCTTTTAGAAAATCCATTGTACCACAGAGAGCACTTGTTTGTGGAAGTAATGTTCCTGGTGGTCCTATAATATTACTTTTACTTTCTGGAAGTCCAGCTATATTGGATGATGAAGCAGAATGACTTGAAGTACTTGTCGTCTCACCATCTACTGTTCGTGTATGCTGAGTAGATTCGACAACATTGCTCTTAGTGACCATATTTTTTGGGTCACTGCCAGTACTATGCGATGTTGATTTCACTACTCGTGAACTTGATGTTTGCATACTTGAACTATTAGGACCAGAAAAATGTGATGAACCAAAATTTGACATTGTTCCCATTTTTTGTCGTAATGACTCCATTCGACGTTCCATTTGCTCCATCATAGCTGATGGATTATCAAGGGAATTAATTGAATCAAAATTCCCCCAATGGTCAAGATCAAAATCATCAACAGGCTAGGAAAATAATTAGAAAGAAAAAAAAATCAAATATTCAACGTCTTGTTCAATGGGTTCAATGGAATATGTATATATCAGGGTTAGACGTTCAAAATGACTAATTACGTAATCTTGACTTTCGAATGGATAATGCTTCATTTTTATAATTTTAGCCTGAAAAGATTACACCGGAAATAAATATGAAATGATAACGTATTTAAAGATTTCTGGGGATTTATATGTTTCAAGATAGTATTCAGCATGGACTGATGGAGTTTTGGATGCATACTGTTGAGGATTTCCATACTAGGACGAAACAGTTGTCCAGTGCTCCAAGGTTCTCAACGGCTCTCTAACTGGTATCAGTCTATAATGAACGCTACCTTATAAATATGAATAGCGGTGAGGACAAATACTCAGCGATGATATTGGGTGATGGTTGCACTATATCGTGAACTGGCAGAAGTGGCAATATGGACCACTAAATTACAACCCACTGGCTCAATGGTAACGTGCTAGCCACGGAACCTGGAGGTTTTGCGTTCGACTGCTGGTGTTGTGGGGTCATGAGTGTGCACTGCTGAAGAGTCCCATACTAGGACGAAGTGGCTGTCCAGTCCCCCCAGGTATCTAATGTTCCTCCAACTCATGTCAGTCCATGATGAATACCAACTTGATAAATGAGAACATCTAAACAATAATTGAAATGCTGTTTTGACAAATCAATACGTAAACTGGAATTATTCAGATGGATATTTTATTGGAATGAACATTTATCATTGTCCCTCTCCAGCAAAAAGATAATAAGAAACATAGTCTAAGTAGTTAATGCATAAAAATTACGTTCAATAGTTTTTTTTCATACGAAACTTAGTAAGTTAAAATTTCAAGTTTTAACGATAATACTAACCATTTCACACTCTCACAATGATGTTAGACATCGAATAATTCATTGTGTCTTGGTTACGTACTAATAACCTAGTCTATAGTTCATTGACTGAACCAATAGAATGCTGTTCTTATAGTTATTTAGTACTCTAATTTAGTTAATAGCTTCTATTTGTTAGGCAAACGACTAAAAAAGCAAATGAAATAGTATTCTGTTTTACAAAGTTATGATGAACGAAAGTAGGCGGGAATCAATAGTTGCGTATATACCCAACCAGTAAACCCCAGCAGCAAAATGATCGCAACATACACACATATCTGGTATTCATCGAAAGCATCCACAGTACCATCTTATCTTCTGTTTGCTAACCAAAAGAAAGAATGTTTCCAGTTATGAAGAATTTCTGATAATATGCATATTAGTGGGACTGATGTGATTTGGCCTAGTTTTGAAAAAAAACAACATGCAATTTATGTCGTAAACATATTTTCAGATGATTATAATTTGTTAAGTTAGAGTCTAATCTGACAAGCGTCAACAAATAATCTAGACACTATCTCTAGTGTAGTTTTATGAATGTCAAGAAAACTGTCTACTATTGATAGTTAGTTGGAGGAGCCCAGAACCTAGATACTTTACTTGTGTCGAATAGCCAAGTGGTAGGATCTCTAACTGGAACATTGAGTGACATGGGTATGTATTTCACAGGGGATATCAATTGCGTAGAGACTACAGACATGCCTTGACAACAAGTACCAACCATCAAGAGGTTTAGATTCAGTGGAGGTGACTATCGATCACCTCCAACCAACTAACGTCAATCAACGTGTACCGCAACGGTGAATCCTTTAGGTATGTGACCAAATTGCAAAATAATCAACAGAATCCTGTCAGGACTTAGGAATAGATAACATGAGATTGGTTGTTTTCCAGTGACCGCTCAATGTACAACACACTCCATTACCATCGCGAAGATAAATGACAACTGGTTGTTAGTATACAAGTCTCAGTACCTCGTTAAAATGTTCGATGTGTGAGAAGAGAGATAAACCTAAATTAGACAAAGGTAAGTAGTTGTTTCTATCTAAAAAAAAATAATTCCAATACTTTAACAAAATCATAAGTTAGAAAGGTTTCAGTGTACTTCAATTCTAATGTTGTTACTCCAGTGTTTGAAACGATCGGTGCCCAGTACGAGTCCCGGTGGGAGTAACATCGCTCACTAAGAGGCAGATACATTCAGCTGACGAGTTCCAAATAGGACAAAATGCACGTTCCGGATTCCACTGCTAGCCACTACCCATCATTAGTATATGATTAAAACACAGGCAACATCGAGGCCTCCGCGCAGGAGCCCATATGCCAATAGAGAACGATCAATTCGGTCTAATCAATGACAGGATACTACAAGCGACAACACTGAAAATATACCCGTCGTACAAGAAGTGGCTATCGTGACTTGATGGTGTAGTGGATAAGGCTCTGGCGTCTGAAGCAATCAGTCCCGAATTGGAGTCCTAATGGTAACAACATCGCTCACTAGGAGGCAGGTATATCTAGCTGATGAGTCCTAAATAGGAAGAAACGCATGTCCTGTATTCCATTGCTAGCCACTATCCATCATTACTACTTCAATTCTGTACACAAATTCCTGGGATAATTAAGCTTTTTAACAGGTGGATATGTATCACATGTATTCGAAAATAAACATTTGCTTATCTAAACGTTTACAATCGGCATAGTTTCATTAAATGATAAATAATTGAAAATGCATTTGCTTACTTTTGTTCAAAAGTTAGCTTCAAAACGAAATGAAGCGTAAATCATAGGAAATATAACACAGAGATGAATCACTAATGCTCAACTGTTGAAACAGATATAAGACGTCATATTGTATGCCTTTCACCCGCCTACTTTCTATGAATCAACGAGTTTCGACGTAGGCTGAAATCTACTAAGCAGATGAATAATTTGTGCAATTTTATGAAGTGACGTGTTCTCAAACACTTTTCAGCAGAGAAAATTCATCTTTTCAACATTCTACTAGTATTTTATAAGAAGGAAAAGCCACTTAGTGAGACTGTTAAATTTTGCATCATTTTTTGACTAACTAAAGGAAACGATGCCGGAAACTAGAATTACTTCAGTCTCAATAGTTTTAGGAAATGATAGATTGATTTCAAGGTAGTAGTTTATCCTAGACTCAAGTCGGTTGGGTAATAATTAAAAACTTAACAGCGTTAGTCAGCTATTTCGTCCTACCCTGGGACTCTTCAGAAACGCGCACCCTGATCCAATCAAAGGTCGAATTTAGGATCATCAAGCCTCGTAGAGAACACTTTGTCATCTAGTCACCAATGTTCCAAATTATCCTACTTCTATCACCTGTTTACTAAAAAAATACAGTTTTTGTGGTGAGTCAGTAAGTTTTTCTTTATTGTAGTTTTGGTTTTTATATTTCTAAGACAAAATACAAGAATGAAGTTCAAACTACTCATCAAAACAACCCCATTTTCAAATTGCAATGACCTTTCCCAAATCGAAATCAAAAAAGTTTATGCGATATGTGAAGTAACTGAGAGAATAATACGAGATACGACGGCGTCGCTAACGTAGTGAGATACACGGACTGGATATGAATAGTAACTGTTCTCCTCAGACCTGATACTTCACTGAGGCACGAAGATGAGAAGACAAAACCGGCCTATGACTGTAAGGAAGACAACTTTATCTGACAAAAGTATGATTTATATACAGTTTTCCTCAAAAAATAAAGCCACTAGGTCAGAAGTTGGAAACTTATTCTGATTGGTCGGCTGAAAGACAAATTTATCCAATAAGATTTTCCCTACTCACACAGTAACATGAAACCAAGGCTAAAATGTTGGTTTCGATTTAGGGTGCTTCCTATTGGTTTGATAAATTGTATATGTAACAAACTTACCATAGAAAAAGTACACTTCTGTATACTGATGAATAATGTCCATCTTCTGACGTGTATCTTTTCAGCCTCTGAGTCGACGTAATCGGCACACTTTGAGTTAATATATATTGCATACTTGATACTTATCAAAATGTAAGGTAATGTACCAACACTCAACTGTGCAGACAATCAATACTTATAATAGAAAGTAAAATAATCAAGTCTGGTAGTCTATACAAGCAGAATACATGAATGTGTTTATGAGGCTGTTTAATGGGCGTTTTAAGTTTTGTAACCGGTTACCCTACGAGGATACAATAAAGTGCATGCCTTTCGATACTGTGGTCTACTTCATGATGGAGTTACAAACACTGCGAACAGGTGACATAAGACTGTCACTAATGCTTAACCACAGGTGCAGTAGAACGATAACTTAAGGTAGTATGAGTGATTCGATGAACCATCAAACTTATATCAACTGATTCGGATACAAAAGGCAGCTTTTGATGTCGTTGAGTTCTCTGAGCTGGGTTGTTTAGTTGTAAAGCTTTCGTTGTCATCCCAGACAACATCTTCAGTAGCAACTTCACCTCACTTTCAACTCCATTGACCCCACAGGTTATCACTTCTCATGAAAACTTTGAAGGATCCATCTTGAAGTAAATCACTAGTGAGTGGTGAAAATAACTCGATTGACTGTCTGGAGGGTGCTCAGTGCTGAGGAGTCACATGCTAGAACGAAACAGCTGTCCAGTGAGTGTAAGTTTTGTAACGATTCTCCAAATCATATCAGTCCGTGTTTGAAACTACTTTCAAGAAATAAATAATCATGTTGTTGTGGTACTTACCCATGACAATTCAGTGGTTCGACGTTTTACTACTCATGTAAATAGGTTTACAGTCGATGATTACTCAAGTAGACTAAACCAATAGCATTGCTTCTAACAACACTCATCTGTTTGGTGACCATCCACCTGCAAACTTACAATCTGAGCCAACATCTATGTCTGACGACTATTAAGAATTCTCGGCTTTAATAGTGTCATTTATTCTGAGATGGCTTGGACGTGTACTGCGCATGCCAAGCCACCGTCTACCTAGACGTACCATGCTAGGCAAAGTTGTATTGGGCTGGAAGAGGGTTCAGGATAGCCAGACCAAGATGTGACACCAGTTAGTGAAGTCCCTGACTGCTGCTCTGAGCTGTGTGGGGAGATGCAGACTTCCTGGTTGGGGTCCCTGAGTCGGAAGGAATTAGTGGCTGAGAACTCTTTGTGATACGGCTAAATATTGGTCACAATGAAACAGATGAATTCACTCCTTTATCTCTTCTAAAGCTTGAATATTCACACTTACCTTTATCTTCAGATTGTTTATTCTCTCATACAACTATGTCTACTTTGATATCACTCCTTTTCTATCCACTTGTTCATTGTGTACTACTGTGAAGTGTGCCAACTTGAGCCGATGACTTTGGCTGCGCGGTTCTACGATGATTTTGTCAGTCAGTTATTTATTCAACACTACATTACTCACTTCAGTGTGCTTAGTTAATGTTAAGATGGAAGTGGAGTTGACAACTCTTTTAGACATGAAACTGTTCATATTTTAAGGATATATTTTTCTTGAAATCAATTGTTGACAAGTTTGTACAAGTCAAATGCTGAACAGTATGGCACTTTTGGCGATATACTGATACGTGAAAATCAACTTCATTAAATGAGTGCTAAGGTTAGTATCTCATTTATCAGAAGATTGCAGCGAATCAAAATCTACTCAGTAACGTTGTGTACATTGGTACAGTAAACAATGAGCCATATCAATTTTGCAAGGCTTAGATCTTCGTACATGGAACTGGGTTCGAGACCGTGACCTGTATTTCAAGAGTCGAGTGCCTAGATCAATAAGTCAGAGCTGTACACAGATCGTATTAGAAATATCGGAACTAAGAATGTTTCCTTGGGATTGACCTATTAGTATAAAAGAGCCTAAAACTCCTGTCATCATTAACCTCACGTTAAAAACATAATCATTCATATATGTTCGTAAGTGCGTCTAGAACGAAACAAAATTTTACAGATTCTCATCGGTGCCCATAAATGGGGTAGTTAGTTGCTGAAAGTACCTTAATATGTTGGGTATTTGACCACGAACTCTTCAGCAGTGATCTAAGTAACTTCATCAACACCACCCAAGATAATTATTTCCTCCATTAGTGAGTTTCACAGGGCCTCTTTTAAACAATGACAACGAGATAAATAGAATCCTCATAAACTTAAGACAAAATTACTGTCTATAGCTCATTACTGACATGCTTCAAGATAGTTAAACCCGGATTTCGAATGAGAACCTATGACCTGTGGAATCATGCAGACGGATCGACAAGTTATCCGAAAACTGATAGAAGTTGGAAACTGTGGGTCATTTGACTCCAATCCACTGACTAAGCGTTTAATGCACTGGCCACAAGAACTGAAGTTCCTGTGGTCGATGACGATGGGGTCGTGTATGTATACTCCTGAGGAGTCCCATGCTAGAATGAAACATCTTTCCAGTACTCTCACATTTTCAATGTCTTTCCAACTGATATCTTCCACAAGTTTGTCGTAAAGAATATCGACCAATTATTGAATAGGTAGCCAAAAGACTAAATGCATAGTTTGAATTATCTCTTTATCTAGTTGACCTTATGTGACCTTGAAACCAAATGGACAGAAAGGCGTTTAAAGTACAATTACAAAATAAAATTGGTTTTTAGCAAGATTTCGGTGAAGCAACAATCGAGACGATTAGTACTGTACTTTTAGAGACCGACACAATTCACTGTTCTAATGTCAGATTTCCTGGAGAAAATAATAATCGGCTGCAATCACTAGGCGCCTTTATATTTACATATAATTTATCAATAGTAACTGGCCCCTTTGATTAATCCAGTTCAAGTGACTACAGCTGTGAGTTGATAACAGCTGGGGAAGTACTACTGAAGACCACGGAGAAGTGTTTTGTTCTAGTATAGAACTCTCCAGCAGTGAACAGTGATGACGGTTCACATGATTGATAACCTGAAGGTATCATTGTAAACGTGTTATTCAGGCAATCATTTCGAATCCGATAATATCCAACTAACAGCTGATAAACGACAATAGTGCTTCGAAGTTAATATGTTCATGGAAATACCTCGAATCCTTATAGATGGGGTAAATGCGATGCTGGATTTGATACTGAAGTACAAGAGCAAAATCGCTATACTATTGGTAGGTTTCTTTCCCTCTTCTAATTGCCTAGATTAAAGTACACATTCTATAGTAAACACAGACTAGAGTTCTCACTCTTACTTTTCTGATGAAACTTCATAATCACCACAAATGTTTTCAAGTCATTCATATCCTAAAACCATCTCATTTGCAAGTTCTTTTTTAAATTCCTCTTTGTAATAAAGACGGTTTCTCAAGAATCCCTGTGATATCCAACGCCGGACTGGCATAAAATCACTTAGTTGCGTAATAGGTTAACATTAACTCTGTAGTTAAATTTTCATTTCAGTTGACGGAAAACAAAGTTATATGTTTTGGCAACCGTTTACGTCACATTGCTATGTCAAATTATGCAGCTAACTGATCCGAACTATTGAGTGAAATTATTACCATATAGTAGATAAATTAAAGAAAGACAGTCACTACAACGTTATGCCCACTGGTTCGGTTTTCTTTTTGAGTTTAGATATGAGGTTCAATATGAATTGTTGCGTAGATTCCATTGTCTACACAACACTTATCTATACTTTAGCCTGAATATGACTTTCTATAACATAAGCCAGTTAAAAACAAACAATGTTACATAGGATTAGAAGTCTGATTCCTTGAGTGAGAATATTGTCCACAGGGCCTCTTAATTATCAGTAAGTAACTACTGCTGTAGATCACAACCTAGTCTACATGTGGTAATCATTCCAAAGAGTGGTAGTATTTAAGCAATAAAAATGCCATTAACGTTTCAATGAATTATTCTTACCTCCAAAGCGAACATGGATTGCCGCATTCTTTTCATATCTTCACTCCATTTACTGCGCGTATCACTAATCCATCGATTAACTTCATCATCCCATTCACTAAGGTGACGATGTGACCCGCCTATACCTGAGTCTGAAAGAGGTGCTGTTGACTCTGATCCTGAATGTTTGTGAATATCCGTTCTTGAGTGTTTACTGTAACTACGTTCTAGATTGTTAAGCATGTCCTTTCGACGTTGTTCAAAGGTACGGCTATCTCGTGATACAGGTATGTTTATTTCTGTCCTGTAGCTATCCATATTTCCGTCAGATGAACTTTTGACTCAAAAAGAACTAGTGGTGATAAGACTGCAGATTAAAAGATCAGCTATTTTTATATTGTGTAAACAAACCTCAGGAAGTAAAGGCCAAAAACACTAATCCATTCTTCAACATGAAACACATTGTACACTTTTCCACCAATCAGCAATTTTAAATTTACATTGCATCTTAACAAGAACCTGATTGGTCAATTTACCAAGTCTGTGAAATCCATGCCATCGTAACCAGATTGCCATTACATCCATCCCACCTGTTTATTATGTTTCTAGATTAAGTGAGTCATTGCATAAATAAATTCATACTGAATTTATAGATTTTTCACTAAATTTTCTTCAACATAAAAGATGGAATCCAGACTGAAGTGTTGTACACATTACAGAATTTACTGAAGAATAAAATACCCTTACCTGTGAAGTTATATATGCACTGAAAGTATGCGTCAGGACTAACATTTTGTATGGTCAAAATATTTAGGCTGCTGGGTGTACTATTTACGAAGCTCATCACATATCAGGTGTATGCTATAGTGCATAAAGTGGCATGGATGCATACATACCCACATGTGCTAATGTATAGACGTACATACTTTATTTCCTTTCGCTAACCTGAACCTTTCTTGTACATTTATCTGTCTGAATGAATAATTTTTAGCAGACAAATGAAAGAGGGAAAATTAGTAGTTTCTTCTTGTGTTATGAGGTGGAGAAGACATTTTATACACCAGAGAAATACATGAAATGTCATCAAACCTCTTCATTCAGTGATGGATAAACACACAGACATGAAAACATTATTGACCAGGTGTTTTATACGAAAGCAAATTGTGCTATGATGGTGGTATAGACACAAACGTTACATGTGTAATGGAATTCGTTCTACTTCGGGCGAAATAAATCCTAGTATGACTCATCATTTGTTAAGATTTTTTGTTTGATACTGGGTGGGGGCGGAAACAAGTTAAACCAAAGGAAATTTCATTTATAGGCCTACCTAAGCAATCATCTCTTAAGACAGACATGTGCGTATGTACGTGAAAAATAATTGATCTATTCCAACCAAGAACCTATCACGCAACAAATATGCAGGAAGAAGTGGAGATGGATTGGCCATGCACTGAGAAGGCCGACGGAGGACATCACGCGTCAGGCCCTCGAGTGGAATCCCCATGGGAAGCGACGAGTTGGACGTCCAAGGGTGACATGGAGGAGGTCGTGCGAGCAGGAAATGAGAGCTTCTGGGCGTCGTGGGACCAGGTTCAAAAGATCTCAGAGAACAGAGGTCACTGGAGGCGTGCTACTGAAGCCCTATGTTCCACTAGGAACCCAAGGGACTAATAATAAATAAAAATTCCAGTTAGTCCTTATTGAAGACAATATGTATGTACCTTAGAGGATAAGGTGTAAGGATCCGGAATTCCATCCATCCATCCAAATCATCATAGGACCAGGCATTACTGCGTAACAGTCCACAGCTCTTATCAGTGCATCAAGTAAAAAGGCAGTGAAGTGGAAGATGAAGAAGAGAAAATTCAGTCAAAAGAAATATAAAGTACTAAAAGAGAGAAAGGAAGAGTGAGAAAATGGTGAGATTCGGTATAGCGTCGTTAAGATGAGGATAATGCGTGTATGCATCTTCGCCAATGACATCGGTTCTGAACCAAATCATTTAGAGTCAGGCCCCAACCATTGGTTTCTCTTGTCCCAGGGACCAAAACCACCTAGTCTGCATCGCTGCACATGGTTCAAACCAACAGTTAAACACTTCATACACTGATGCCATGTTCTAGTCTGACCAACTCGGGTATTTTTCCAGTCTGGACCTACTTCGACCAACATTGAGTGATGAGGCAGACGGTGACTAGGCATTTGTAGCACGTGTCCCAACCATCTCAGTCGATGAAGGTTCACAACTCTGTCAACTGACTTACCTCTTCTCCCTAAAACCCTACACCTGACTTCTGAGTTACTCATGTGGTGACAACGCGGAATACGTCCTATACTACGAAGGCAACAGTGGTCAAATATCTGAAGCATTCTCATGTCTTCCATCTTCAATGGCTATGTTTCACAGCCATACAGTAGTACAGAACGGACTGCCTTGCAGTACAGACAATCCTTAATAGATAATCTGATATTACGGTGGCGTCACAGATGGCGTAGGCTGGTAAAAGCCAGCCGAGCCTTTTGTATTCATGCAAAGATTTCATTGACTACTGGGCCACCAGGGCTGATCCAGCTTCCTAGGTAAATGAAGTGGTCGATACACTCAATCACTTCACTCTGTTGAAGGCTTCACTGTTGAAGACCAATCCTGGAGCAACAATTTGCATTTGGGTGGTGAGTGACGCATCCCTTCACATCTTGTTCACCAACTGATTTCACCTCAGTCTACTTCCTTTACCCACTTCTTATGTAATACTCCTTGATTTTTGCTGTGTATATTGCTAATTGCTGTTAAATATAAGAAAAGTGTCAAAAAAGCTAGGAACCTTCTCAACTATGTATAGATAAGCGTTTTACTCCGTTATCGCTTATAATTACGGTATCATCATTCATCATGCTGTGTTTGAAAATATCGGGCTTCAGTTGCACAGCGCCATTTCATTCTATCCTCTGGTCTTTTTACCTTGGCTCCACCACTGTCCAAAGGCTTCCATTCCTTTCTCACACCATCTCCTTCATGTCACCCTCAGACACCCAACTCGTCTTTCCCTAAATGGTTTCCACTCGAGGACCTGGCTGAGCCCGTGATATCCCCTAACGGTCTTCTCAGTGTATGTACTATTCAATCAAATTCATCTCCACTTTCTTCTGCAGATTTATTGGGCGGTGGATTCTTGGTTGGTTTATTACTAGCCAGAGTTCCTTGTCAATTATTCTTTCTGACCATCACATCTTCAGACTCAGTATCGAGAGTAGGTGGGATCTGTTCATGTACGTCTGTAGTTTGTTGGAAATGCTCTTCGTAGCACGCCGCCAAGTCTCTCAACCATATAGAAGCACTACCTTGATGTTGGGGTTGAAAATCCGGATGTCGTTCACGCTTTATGCTGAGTGCAGTGCAGTGCAGTAGATCTCCACACTGATTTCAGATAATTAAGGGACTATCTTCCTTTTCCTATCCTGGCTCTCATATCCTCATCTTTGCCGCTGCCGCCTGTAGTTGAAACAATACTGCCTTGCCTAGGTAGGTGAAAGAGGCTGTTTCCTTTACATTTCTCAAAATGATGGTAATTGGTGCTTCTTATTGTTGTTATTGCTGTTGGTTGGGTGTCTGCATCACCTCTGTCTTCTCTACGTTCACCTTCACTTCAAGTCCCGTCTTCGCTTACTGCTTCACTTCGCTTATCTGCCAACTTCTTAGTTTTCGCTTGTAGATCTGCGAGTTTGTGCGATGAGGCATTATACATGAATCATCGGCTGCAAAGTCCAAATCCTCTAGGAATTGATGTGGCTCATAAACCAACAAACACCCTCCAAACACTACTATTCAGACCAAACGATGCAACAACCAAAGAAGATAAGCCGAATATCATTTACAAAATCAACTGCAATTGCTGTAGTCAACACTACATGGACAAAGTGGTCACCTTCTTCCCCTTCATCCTCATGAACACCAACTGGCTGTTGAACGTCATGGCATTCCCCACTCAGTCCAATGCATGTGGATGACAACTATGGACATGAATTCAGTTTTGACAATGTAGAAATTTTGGATAGAGGAAACACAAAGAGAATATCAGATACCTCCTAGAAGCTTGTCATTCAGGTCAGTCAGTCAATCAGTCGGTCAGCAATCAATAGACGTACAGACGCAGACCCGATCTATCAACCAATCAGAGAAATAATTAACGACAGAAAGGTCAGAGGTGAAGCAGAAGAACACCCAACAGGAAATCTATACAGTGAATGACACAACAATCAAAGGAAACAACCAAGCACAAACTAGTTTGTCAGGACAAGCTACTGAGTGACTGATGGGGAGATATGACAGGTCTCTTCATCCTGAAGTTAGTTGTGATGATGTCGCTGTCTAGCGAGACGATGAATGCTCCACGACTAAACAATCCAGCTCAGATAACACAATGCAACCAAGACCATCCACCTGAGCTACAAATATTCTTCAACGAATATTTCTACTAGAAGTACTCCTAATGAAATGAGTACTCATCATCATGCTAATTACAAGCTAAAAATCTACTGCATTACATCAGAATTGACTTTCTGATTTTTAGTGTCCTTATAAGCAAGCTTAGTACACTTTTACCTACCCAAGACGAGTAAGCGTTTTATTCACATTGACTGGCATTTGTAGCATTCCGTTGATACAGTGGAATACATATGAGCACCTTGGACAAATGCCTCGATAATCCTTCATGTTCTAACACTCTGTCATTTAAAAGCTTTAAAATTCCCATCATGTAAATCAGAACAAGACATATATTAGTGAACAGTATTGTTTGCAATTAGATCCTCTTCACGCTTTACTCTAATAAAAATACCTTGACATATACATAAAAATTTAACCAATCATGTAGATTTCTCGATTAATGTGATGAATGTTTCAAAGCAACAATGGTCATGATAATAATACAAATAATAAGAGTGATAACGTTGACTAAATCACTTGCAATATAGATGATGATGATGATGATGATGATGATGATGATGATGATGATGATGATGATGATAAGAATCAAGAAAGGAGTATGAACATGTAGACAATACGATGATAATCAAAGTGGGTCTGGTTTTGGATATGTCTAACTCCCATACCACACAGTTACTAAGTGGTTAGTAAGGATTTTACATCCTTTACACAAATAATTAGTTAACCACAGTGAATTTATTTCTAAGCCAAATAATGTGAATGTAAACGGAAAACATATAATGTCACTTGATATCTCATCACTATCCACTAGTTTGTCATTACTGGACACCGTAGAGTTTGTGTGTCAACAAATATCGGAAAGGCAAATCAACATCGAGATTCCAATGCACATCTTCAAACAGTTGCTTCTTTGATGTACTATGAGTGTATATTTTGTCTTTAATAGCTCACATTATGGACAGATTGATGGGACAGATATGGGTTCACCAATTGCATTCATTTTAGCTGATATATTTCTTGCCAAATTGGAGAACGGATCATTGAAAGACGTCGTTAATGAGACGACTATGTATCACCGAAATATTGACGAAACATTCATTATCCTGGATCGAATGTGGATACAAACGAGGCGATGAGAAAATTTAATGAGGTGCACCCTTCACTCATTATCACCTGTGAGGAAGAAAATGCCAGTTGACTACACTTCTTGTATGTTTTGCTAAGAAGAAGAAGAAGAAGAGAAGATGGTCCACTCAGCAGGTGTGTTTACAGGAAGACTACATCTATGAGTCAGTACACACATTTTCTTAGTCACTTACCTACTCAGCACAAAGCAAACCTGGTTAAATGCCTCAATAACAGAGCGAGAAGAATATGTTCAAATGATTTAATACAGAAGGAGTTAGAATATACTCATGATTCATTGGTCGAAATGGCTACTCTAACAGTTTCACACAAAGACACATGGGCAAAGTCAGGGGAAATAAACCTGGAATTATTGCTGTACAAAAGAAACTGTTGTTCATGAAATGGAGATGTAGCTGGAGAAGTTTCAAATCAGAGACTCTCTACAGACATCTAGAGGATTTTCTACTCTGTAAAACTCTGTCTATCATTTTCCAGTCGACCAATTATTGTTGTCCAGACAAAACATTAGTATCTAGTTTTGTCATTTCTATGTGTATTTACAAGTTTAGCTGCTCCTGTGGAGAAAGCTAGATAGGGCGTACTACTAGACGACTTAACACACTTGTTGATGAGCAT